GGACTAGCCGCCCCTCCAAAAATGAATCATTACAATGGTATACTATCAGAAAAAGCAGGTAAAATTCTTAAATGAGAAGGTTTGAAGTAGCTTTTAGGGGTACGTGTTCACAAACATCCTCCCAAAACTTAAATATATACAATAGAACAACGAGGCAGAAAAATTAAAACGAGAGTTAAAGAACACTTGCCTAAATCGAACAAATTTTATGAAGTTAACGACCAACTCAATTTAAATTTAAATACAACCATCATCACATTTTATCTCAACCATTACCTTACTTAAAGTTTAAATACAACTTGCACAGTTTCAACAAAGGGAGGGAACTATATTTTTTTGCGAAATTTAAAATAAAAAATTGATTCCGTTCTAAATATTGGAAAGCTGAATTGAACTAGAAATGGATTTTTACATCATATCCGCTTTTTCATAACCGAGAAATTATGTTATCCGGAACGTGTTCCTGTCAACCGCCGTAACCTCGCGAAGTTCTTTATGCTCAGACTCATGAGTGACAGTTTAATATGACAATATAACTGAACTGGGAAGATGTTAATGTCAGTAAGATTTACACGAAATTGTTATTGCGCCGTCCGGCAGTCACGAGCCGCGGTTAAAATTGACAATAATACACACGCTACGAACATTAAAAACGTCGCGGAAAACAACGAGAAATTTTCGACTGTCCACGGTAATACAGATTATGAAAAATAAAAGAATGTTATTTGTTTGCCCCATTATATTACTCAATGTTTGAGGTCAAAGAACCCGGTGGTTCTTCTTTCTTTTCAGTCAAAATGTTTGAGCTAATTTTCCTGCCTTTTCCTTGGGTGTTGTGTCCGGATTTTTTCTACCTCTTAATCGATCCTTAAAATGTCACCCTCTGAACCGAAATGCGCTGATCTATAAATGATTCAATTTGGGAATATGGTTCAAAGTAATTAACATCCTTACAAATTCATTCGGAGATGCTCTTCTGCGGCTAGGGTTAAGGATGGAATTTCAGATTGTTCCCTCTAGAACTTTGGGAGTTAGGCAAGGATGCATTTTATGTTCCATTCTTTTATCCCTCTTCATTGATGACCTTCCCCTGTAATTGAAGGCTGTTTCGAGTTGCAACATGAAGTCAGCGATCATTAAACAGAAGCATTACATAATATACAATATTAAAAGCATTTTATAGCATGGATGCATATCCGTCTGCCGGAAGTTGGCTGTTCTTTTTCAGGCGAGCGAAAAATAAAAAATAAAAATAAACTATATAATAATGGTAATAATAGAAAACTATAAGTAAAAACTAAATTATAAAACTAGCTGATTTTAGATACAAGTTAAACAATTATGACTTGGTATTATAATCGTACCTATATTGCCAGGCATGACGTGCATAGTGTGCTGGACCTTTCGACCTCTCCATGTCCACGATATTTAACAGATCAAGCAGCTGAGAGCTGGAAAGCGATTTATATCCTAGATACAGGATACGGAGTTCAGACAGTATGGGACACTGGGCAACAAAATGAAAGATATCTTCCCTAACTCTTAGGTTACAGAGCGTGAACAAGAAATTTCCGTCGTCTTCCTTCCATGGCACAGAATTGAGGAACACTTGCTCGCATCTGAGTTTAAGAAGCCATAGAAGAGTCGGAAGGTTTATAGACCCACTAGCTTGAACATTTAGGTTAAAGGTTTCCTTAGAGTGGTCTAGGGCCTTAAAGAGAAGATACCTGTTGGAGACCTGAGCTCGATGCTCACACTAACACGATGTTGATCACGTAGTCTGCACAAAAGTTTCATGGTATAATTGGGCCAACTCGAGAGGTTTTCTAAACAAAAAGAAAAACCGCAACCATATTGAGAAGCTAAAGTATTCCATTGCCGAAACCAAGAACCATTAGATTTAATAACCTCGAGAGCAGTAATTTTGGAGATTCGGGCAACAGGGCCCATAAAGTCAGCGCATTACTATACGCTGATGATATTTTGTTCGTAACTGACAATCGAGTTAAAGATTGTCTTAAGAGCACAGAGGATCATAAAAATATTTGAAAGATATTGTGAGAAAGGATTTCACTGCTAACACTGACAAATCTAAGATGGTAAGTTTTAGAAAGAGTAGCTGACTTGCCCTCATTGACAGTTTTTCCTGGGATGGGGGGGATAACCCATTGAAAATGTAAATCATTACAATTATCATCGAATTACTCTTACACCTCGCCTCTCTTTCCAATATCATTTGAAGCAGATGTCGTCTACAGCTAAAATGGGATTCGACAGAATTTGGGCTTAATGTTAAATGATAACATCCCACTGAAAACTAAACTCAACATATTTAATGCTGTCTCTAGGTCTGTGCTGTTTTATAGCGTACTAAGTATGGGGATTTCAAAAGTTGACATGGCTGAGAAGTTTCTGAAATTTTTATCAAAAAGCTTTTTGGCTTCCCCTCCTCAACTCCTAGCTATGTGTTGTATTTAAAGACATCCGCTGACCTATTGATAGTATCTACACTGATGATAATTATACTACTACATTAAGTATGTCCAGAACTTCCAAAAATTGCTGCTCTTGAAATAATAAACACACGACTAGCATATTTTAAAAACACGCTCTTATTCTCCCACTGGCATACTCTATTTTCTAAAAATTCCACCCCACATGACTTAAATATTAATCTCCGAATGGAAACCTAATCTTGATTTCCTTCTTGCAAAGATCACTGGATTTCATCGGGAGGATCATGTGGGGCTTGCTCCGACATCAACTGGTTTTTTGCTTTGTAGGGATCTACGTCATAGAGTTCCCCATTGTCATTTATGGTCTGACTTTAATCAGCAACTGAATATGGGTGATTTGCGCGGGTTTTTAAAATGAGGTGTGAGCTACTTTGGTTGAATTTCACCCACTGGATGGAGGGGCTTCTGCCCCGTGCTCTGTATGTAACTCTAAGGTCAAAGAGGACGTGTTCCATTTCTTAGAAGAGAGCACAATTTTAAAAGACATTCTTACGCTCCACCTAGGACAAATGCAATGTCTACGAATAAGAAACAAAATATTCTAATTTGGTATGATTTAAAAAGATAAATCAACAAAATATTGCTTTTTTCTGCGTATTTTAACGAACATTCTCTAAGCAAAGTAGGTCACAAAATGGTCACAACTTGGATTTGACCTCGTTGTCGTGATTCTAGCGTTGTAAAACCCTTAGGTACCGACTTTCGCGGAATTCGGTGAAAATTAATTTTTTGACTGTTGATGTCGACGTTCCCTGTGCAAGTTCTAACATCATTTTTCTCAAAAGCTAGTGGACCGATTTTCATGGTTAATCATTCGTTTTAAAGAAATTTTCATGTCCATTTTACAGTTATATCAACAATTAAAATCGGACTATTATTTCCATTTAAAAAAACGAGGTTAATTTTTGATATAAATTTGCTATTTTATATATTCCAATGATACATACATCGTTAAAAAGCTACGTTTCTCTTCTTTCAAATGGTCTGTTTGCCGTTAAAATCATTTTAACCGTTTTTTGAATTCTTGCCGTTGCAATCAGATATTTCAATAACGACTTCTTAAAAATCGGAAAAATTTTGGGGTAAAAAATCGATAAATTTAAGTTCAAACAAAACTTCATATTTAGGGCCTCTAGAGGTGCTAAAACGAAATTTCGTATTACTTACTTTACTACGAAAAAATTGATTATCTAGTTTACTTGCAAATATTTGGTTTTTAAATTTTTTATCGATAAATCAGCTTTGATAGCTTTTACTACATTTTTATTGGAATCTACATAAACAAAGATGTAAAATGACCTATTCACATAATAATTCAGAAATCGTGAGATGCGGTCTGGTGTGATGTACGTTTCAGAAAAACATTTTCTTTATCGTGCCAACGTTTCGATCTTTATTGAGATCATCTTCAGGGCCTGGGATTTACAAACAATGTTTAAATTTAACAAATACAATTTCTGAATAATTATCGACTAACGGTTACTAATCACCACACATATTCACATAGTTGATTTGACCAAGTAGAACGTCGAATTAAAAATATTAAAAAACTTTTGGCGAAATCAGGGCCTATTCACAAGTAGTGGCAGATATGTCCGAAATTTTGCAGCACCATAAAAAGTTGGGTCCAAATCCGTCACCTAGCATCCTGGTCGTTCTCTTGTTAGTTATTTTTTTTGTCCGATCGTGTAATTTACTTGAAAAAATAATGTGTATTCTATATTATAAAAAATAAAGTACTACAATTATTAAATATCATCATTTTTTGGTAGAGTGCGTTTTCAAATATTAGAATAGTTTGATAGAATTTGTAAAAGTGATTTTTTTGTAAATATCCAGCCTGGGAGTAATATTATAACAATAAGAGGTTATATTGCGATCGAAATTTTTTGATTCGTGTAAACCGGTTTATCATAACACACTTTTGGCCCAACTCGGCAATTATTGTATCATCAATTCATAGTACGATTTTGTGAAGAAACGCCTTAAAACATTGAAAACTGTGATTAAGGGTTGGATAATTAAAAGGATTCCTCAAACCAAACATTAAAAAGTCAATGTCAACAATCGATCGTTTCGACTAAAACGATAAATAAATCAAATCACTTATGAACGTTGAGGCCAACTGATCGACTCAGTATTCGTTTAACTCAAAGAAATAAGAAAAATATATAAATGATTCTGAAATTAAGGGAATTTTTTTAAACCTTTAGTAGCGGGTGATTGCCATCTCGGCCAGAATGCTTGTAAAGGGACAAACGTGATGACCAATGTTCGGCACCTCGCTGACCTCACCAGGACATCTTACAGCAGGAGATGTGTATTTAATTCGTCAACTTGCTAACTTATTAAATTTGTACTAAAGTAAATTGTACAAGTTTTGAAAACGGGATGGGAAAAATATCCCCGTCGAACCTTAACCCAATGGTTTTGTGTCGGATGGAATATGATTGTCATCCGCTTTATATATTGATCTATTTACAGATTCGAGCAAAAGGAGGCGTAGGAGCCCGAGCAAAGGGCGGGATACACCACCGGAGATCTCGTCGTCGACGCCCGGAGGCGAGGACGTCACGCTCAACCCCCTACTTCAGGAAAGGGCTAACTGTGAAGAATTGAGGCACGTCGTCTGCCACTTGGAAACCAAAGAGTTGTGGGAGAAATTCAACGAGCTCGGAACTGAGATGATTATAACTAAAACCGGAAGGTGAGGAATTAAATAAAAAATAGTAATAATCAAAGCTAAGTAGAATAAAACTTTTTTAAAATATCTTTGAATTAATTAAGGTTTTTAGTTAAGATAAAAAAAGTATGCCATTAAAGCATTAGCATGTAAAAGAATCACATCAAAATTAGTCAATGAATGCGTCCAAAATCTCAAAAATCTGGTCAAACACAACAACCTGATGATATCTTGGGTGCCAGCGCACAGGGGAGTTTTGGGTAACGAGAAAGCAGACAGACTGGCCTCAGGAGGATCTGCAAGACCATACATAGCCCCGAACCTATTCTTGGGATAACAAAAACAAATATAGAATCCTCCATCCCAGAATGAATCCAAACAAAACAAAAGGAGAAGTGGATAAACTCTAGCGGTGCTAGACATAGTAAACATATGATGAAACAACCCTCACCGAGACTGGCAAAATCACCGCTGCAATTGGAGAAGGCTAAACTCAGGGGAGAGGTAGGACTACTAAACGGTCACTGGTATGTGAGAAAACATCTACACAACATGGGTATATACAGCGATGATCCCATTTGCAGATTATGTAATGAGGAGGAGAAAACGCCACTCCTATCATCTTCGAATGCGAAGCAACAGCTCAATGAAGGTTTAACCTAACGTTCGGAAAAAAACTTAGTGAATCAAATTGCAGCACTGAACTAAGGAACTAGGAAGGTATAATAAGCCAGAAGACTGCAGTGCCTGGGGAGTGCAAACCCCTCTTCCTAGTATCCTTTTTCACCATACCATATTATACCATGAGATAAAAAAATCTATGTAGCCATCGGGATTCGAACCCACGACCTTCGGCTATATACGCCGCTACCACCTGAGCTATCGTCACTTCGGTCCACTCGGACACTAACTTCCCATCTCAATCCCACCTTTTGAATTTTCCCTCCTTTTTGCCGTTTTCAAAAGGTGGGGTTGAGATGGGAAGTTAGTGTCCGAGTGGATCGAAGTCACGATAGCTCAGGTGGTAGAGTAGCGGCGTATCTAGCCGAAAGTCGTAGGTTCAAATCCCGCTCGTGACACTGACTTTTTTTATCTCAACTAAAAACCTTAATTAATTGAAAGATATTAATTGGTCAAGCGGACTTTTTTTAATCATAACTTAACGATTAATGTCAACTTCAAACACACACTGACAATAAATATACATACAATCCTGTTAACGAATTTATTAACTAATATTAATTAAGCTTTTGCAACAATAAATAACAGTACAGATATTTTTGAGTTGTTATTTCATGCTTTATTACACTAAGAACATGAATAATGAGCAATAGCAATTGTTTCTCTTCATTTACAAGAAAATGTGAGGTAAACATTACAAGCCGTTAGTCACGCCGTGAAAAAGTCAGTCGAGTTTTGCAATTCCTTCTTTTCTTTTTTTTAGTCTCATACTCACATTTATTTGGCGTATGTTGTTGTGTGAAACTTTCTAGATCGACATGGCAATAAAGTTAGACTCCTCTCGTTTAGGTAAGCCGAGAGCGTTTCAAGCTGAATGGCTCCGAGCACGCTATCGCATTACCGTGTTAACAAAATACCAACACCCTCATTCCGGAGGTTTGACGTTCATTGGTTTTTTGCCTACTTTTCACATCCGGTATCTGTTTAACTCGAGCTGTCTAATCTTCTCTATCGATTTCCAATTTACCTAAAGAATCTCACGCCCCCGCGGACACTCAAATATTCTTTCACATACATAGCTGCACACAAAGCATGGGAAGAATATATTATATCTTGCACAATTCAAGCTAATTAGAATTCCAGCATTCTCAAGATGTTTAACTCTGATTCGCTTGATTTAATACTGCAATCTGATAGGAAGAGATCGAATTGAGTCCTACCCATCTTTTTGCAAGTAGACCAATATCCTGTCCCTAAGGATTTGCTTATAAGTATGTCGGGTTCTAATGCAGGGCCGCTGGATTCGAACCTGGGACCTTTACCTTACAGTGCTGAGCGCTGTGTCAACGCCTAAACCGTTGCGGCCACCTATACCCCCTCTAAGGATTTACTTATTAGTAAAACCGGATTTTTGTGCAGTAAAAAACTGCAAAATGTACAGTTAAAACACTGAAACTTGCAATAAAAACCTAAAATCGTACAAAAAAGTGCAATAAAGGTAATACAATTATGTATTATCTTAAACATTGTTTTTATATGATTGTTTATTTAGAATCAATCGATTAGACCCATTTTTCAGACGCAACATGTACTAAATTATCAATATACATTAAAGTTTGATTCAATTTAAAAATTATATTAAAATATAAAAAAATTCGATTCAAAACTATATAACTGAATGACAGACAATACAGTTTTTTAAAGTTTACAAACTATGCATAAAAGAATAAATGTCCAATAAATAACAATCACCTTGAAACAGAAAAAAATTAATAACAATAGAATGAAACAAATAATTTGTTCTTTGTGATTCAACATATATCGCTATATTCACTAATTTCGAGGTCCGCTTGGCCAATTATATATTAAAATAAATTAAGGTTTTTAGTCGATATAAAAAAGTCAATGGCACGAGCGGGATTCGAACCCACGACCTTCGGCTAGATACGCCGCTGCTCTACCACTTGAGCTACCGTTATCTCGATCCACTCGGACACTAACTTCCCATCTCAACCCCATCTTTTGGATTTTCCCTCCTTTTTGCCATTTTTCAAATGTCGTGTAATCGGATTGGATTCTCGGCGCAAATGAAATGGCCACGGAGAGCTTTAGTGAAGTGTACTTCATTTTAAATCATTAAATTCACTAATTTCGTGGTCCGCTTGACCAATTAATATATTACAATTAATTAAGGTTTTTTGTTGAGATAAAAAAGTCAATGGCACGAGCGGGATTCGAACCCTTTTTATCGAGGGTATCACGAGCGGGATTTTTATCTCAACTAAAAACCTTAATTAATTGTAATATATATCGCTATGTACTTTTTCTATCAGGTGATTCCTCTCATCTAGAATAGGTTTAAAAAGGGAAAATACTCGGATCTTTTCTTATTAAAAAATTTGCCATCGGTCATCGTTTCTTTGTGTTGTTGTAACTACCACGTTCAAGCTTTCGGTACCACATACTAACTTAACTCCATTATTATTTTTTTTACGTGGTTTTGCTCGGTTTCCAATCCAAAGAAAGGCCGAGAAATGAAAAATGCAAGTGATAGAAAAGAGCCGGAACAGTGGATGTCGAATATAAAACATCTTATTGGAAAATTCTAGGCATTGGAAATTCCAAATTCGAAATTGTCATTTTGAAAAAAGCAGGTCGTTTTTGTGTTTTTTTTCGATTGTTTTGTTCAAAGAAGGCCGATGAAGCTCATAAGGTAAGTGAAAAACGTCTTCCATAAATAATATCTGCTGGAGTTAAAAGCGTTTTTGAATTTACCTAAACAATAATACATAAATATTTGGCTTTAGACATCATAAATCCAATTGATTTAGAAAGTTTATCTAATTATTTGCCGTGTAAATTTATTAAATTATTATTTGTTTATGTAAAGATTGACTGATAATTTTCGAGGGTGGAGAGAACACAAGCAACAAATTTATTATTGTATTTAATCGTTCGTGATTATGTTAAACTCAGCGAAATTTACTGATGAAAAGAACTGAGAATTAATGTTTATAGAAGAGTAATTGTAGTTCTAGGAGTTCGGCGGTGGCCGATTGGGCTGAGTCGTGGGTTCGATTCTCAACTTTACCCCTGGAATTTCTTACTGATGGCTCATCCGCAATACATGTAGGTAGTTTGATGTCAAGCGATCTTTGTGAGGCGAATAAGAATTAGGTAATAAAAGATATCTATTGACAAAAATAAAGAAAAAAATAAAAGATTTTGTATCTATTCAAGTCTATAAACTGGGCTGCAATCATTCAAAAAGATTCGACTGAGAAATTTACAATCATAAATTTTATTGATATTTCTACACTACTTGTACAAATCGATAAGTTTAGCAAGCGAGCAGAGCTTTTTGTGCAGACAGAGCTTTTTCAAATGCGATCAATGGTCGGAGTAGATTATTTGATGTTACTTTTTATCGACGCCCACGTGTTTGCCGGAGTAACGATTCAGGATTGGCGGATATCGAAAGGCCAATTTGTTAACAGATGTCGGCTAATGCTGAGTTAATAGCCGTTGTTTACCGATCGTGGCCATTGTGATGGTAAATTGCCTCAGGGCTGTCACTTAAAACGTTATAGCAAAAGACTTGGGTAAACAATGGAGGGTGGCAAACTGGTGGGGACGTCGCCGTTGGCAACACCCTTCAACTCCTCCCCACCGAGACAAACTTGACTTTTTTCGATAGCAAGTTTTGAATTATTTACCAAAAGGCTAAGTGGGCTGTGGGGTGGGTCGGCGAGGAGGGCACCAGACACCTAAGAGGGGCAAATGGGGAGAGGTGTGTGAAAAATCCATACGACCTTAGACATGCGTCGGCGGACAATACGAGCAACTGGTGTTACCTTGCGGCTGAGGGAAAAACTACAATTCTAATTGGTTCTTAACTCGAATTGTTACAAAAGCCAACGAGGAACACCTACCCCGAAAATCCGAAATCAATTAATTATACCCACGGTCTAATCTGGGCTTACCTTAAGAAATTTCTTGGATTTTGCTCTTTGATATGGCTTGAACGATTAGAGGATTATCATTTAAAGGCTAACGATCGAGAGGTCTGTGTAGTATCAACTATTCCCAACCATTTGTTATATACGAATATGTGGTATATATTTCGAGATACTTACAGGTAGGTACTCTAAAACAGACCGTTTTTCAACAAAAAAAGGATAGGTGTATTATTTGCCTAATTTATTGAAGAAGTTGCGACATCTACCTATCGATAACCTATAATCACCAAAACATCCAGTCACCCTTCAATTCACAAATCATGTAATTTTCCTCCCGGTCACTTAACAACGATACTCTGTAATTTCAAAACGGATAGCTTCTCC